CTGGTGAACAGCAAGACCAAGAAAGAGCATGCAGCCCCGTAAGAAGCTGTTTCTTCCCTCTGAGAGGGTCTCCATCTCCTGTGCCACAGACATTGACCAGCAGTCCACCAAACACCTGCTCTCTGAAATGTGTGAGATCCACCGAAAGCAGTGCTTATAGGGAAATTATTCCGTTAAGTGGCAACATTAGAAAGTAAGCATGGCTCCCCAGTTTCCACCTAAGTAGGAAAAGAAGAGTAAAGTAAACCCAACGCAGGCAGAAAGAAGGAAATAAAGACAACAGAAGAAATTAATAACATTGAAAAAGTAAAACAAGGTAAATGAATTAAAAAGCTGATTCTTTGAAAAGATCAAAATTGGTCATTTGTAGCATGACTGACAAAAAGAGAAGACATAAATTACCAATATAATGAACAAAAAGGATATATCACTACAGACTCCACAGACAGTAAGAGAATTCCTTGAAAACTCACCCAAGCTGAACCAGATACCCTTACTGGTCCTGAATCTGTTAATGAAATTTGATTCCTAGTAATAAATTTTGCTAAAAGGAAATCTACAGGTCCAAATTATTTCACTGGTAAATTCAAACATTTGGAGAAGAAATAACACAAACACAGTCTTTTCCAGAAAAACAGGAGAGTATACTTTGCAACTTATTTGATGAGGCAAGCACTACCCTGATACCCAAACTACACAGAAACAGTCCAAGAAAGCTACAGGTCAGTATCCTTCATAACGTCTTTATAAAATAATAGCAAATCAAATTCAGCAATATAAAAAGAATAATGTCACAACAAATGGGATTTATCCCAGGAATGCCGGGACGGTTCAGTTTTAATCAATACAACCCACCGTGTTAACAATCTAAGGCAGAAAAACCACATGACCATATTTTTTGATACAGAAAAAGCATTTGACAAAACTTGACATTCACAACCATAATGTTTAAAATATATATACACCTTGGGAAACTAGAAATAGCAGGGAACTTAGCTTGATACAAAAGGGTGCACAAAAAACTACACCTGATCTCATACCTAATAGTAAGAGACTGGGTGCTTCCTTCTGAGGCCAGAACAAGGCCCAGTGACTTGTTTTCACCAGTTCTAGATACACGGAAGTCCCATCCAGTACATTAAGACAAGAAAAAGAAGTTAAAGGAATATATATTGGAGAGGAAGAAATAAAATTCTCCTTATTCACAGATAACATGATTATCTACATAGCAAATCCTAACAAATCTACAATAATATTCCTAGAATTAAATACTGGGTTTTGCAAGGTCACTAGATACAAAGTCAACACACAAAAATTTGTTGTATTTCTAATGAACAATGTGAAGTTGGTTTTGTAAAAATATTTGCAATTGCTCGAAAAAAATTAACTATTTAAATATAAGCCTAATAAAACACACATGGACCTGTGTGACAAAACTATAAAATTACAGAAACACTTTTAACAGAGAGCAGCATCGACTAAAGGAAAGGGAGAAGCATGCGATGTCTATAGATTCTTTCTCCAGGCACACTGGGGGCATTTTCAGGCCGTAATTCTCTGTTCTGGCACATTCTCTCCCTCCTGGTGGTTCTTCTATGGCCTGTGTGCTGGCACGTGTATTTGAGGCCCCTTTCTTTTTTCTTTTTGCTGTTTTCCCTCTGTTTTTAGGTTCCATGACCTGCCAGCTATTTTCACTTTCACTGGTCCTGCCCGCTCCTGTCGCTGTGGTGTCCTCCCGGTGAACTCTTCATCTTGGTCCTTGTGCATTCGGCCCCATGACGTCCATCTGGGTCCCTGCGGCTCCTCCTCTTGGTGGTGGTGCTCTGCGACGAGACGCTGTCTCCCCACTGCCTTTATGTCATGATTCCCTTCGGTCCTTTGAACACATTTATAATGGCTTCTCCCAGTCTGGGTTGAATCTGGCAGCTCGTCCATTTTGCAGGCAGTTTTGCTGCTTTCTCTTTTTTCCCCTGTGGGTCACACTTTACTGTGTTACATGTCCTGTAATTTTGTTGAAAAACTACGTTAGGTAGTGGATCGCAGTACTTCCAGGTGACCCCCACCCCTGTAGTTTTTGGCCGGTTTGGCGGTTTTGCGGCCAGGCTGGGCAATTCGAGCGAAGTCTGCCTCCCCCCTGGTCTGCGGGCTACTGTCTCCTGGCGCCAGACCACCTTCAGGCCCTGTGATCACTGCCTCGCTGTTCTGCTATCAGCAGAGCCTCGGGGCACAGATTGTTCGGGCATCTGGTGCAGTTAAATTTCAGCGGTGGTAGTTTTTGAGGTCAGTCTTTAAGGTTTCTAATGACCCCGGAAGGGCGCTTAGCTGTCTATTTCCTGTGAACAATTGGCCATGGTTTAGCTTATTGCCCGTAATGTAGAGGTGCTACTGTTTTCAAGAGCACCCTCAGGCTTGAACTTCCCCATACTTTGTTTCAAGTAAAGTGAACTCCCTTGCGAGAGCTTCAGCCGCTCTCTTTCCTTGGACTGCACCTCCCCTGGGCAAATTCTCTGAGCCCCCACTCTGGGCCCCGGGCCTGGAGGAAGCCTGTGGTCTCGGCCACCTCCCCTGGCGTGGCTGCTCCCTGCAGGTGTTCTCTGGAGTGAGAGCATTTGGGGCCCAGGATTCTCAGCTGCCATGCCAGGGACAGAGCCTCCATTCTGTGGGTGGGATCAAGTGGAGACAAGGACCCCCCAACCTCTTGGTTGGAATCAACAGGAATTTAGCCCCTTCAGCTTGGAGATGGTGGCCTGCCCCTCCCAATGAGGTACTTTAAGCTTTGATTGGAAACTGAGGGGAGCAGAATCCCCATCTTCTCAGCCACCCCTTCTGAGTGTACTGGGGTGAGGAGGAGGAAGCAGGTCGTGGCTCAAAGGCTTCAGACTCAGTGTTCCTACAGGTACCCTTGAGAAAGGATTCATTCATTAAATACTTCTAGGACAATTTCCAGTGACTAAATGATTGAATGACTTTGCTTGTTTCATTGGTAGTGGTTCAGTGGGTCTCCTCACACCGCCATCCCAGAAGTGGAAATTGCTCCTTCGTTTTCGAAGGACTATGTGCTGGACGTAGAATTCTTGGTTGACAGGTTTTTTTCTTTAATTCAGCACTTTTAATACATCACCCCACTGCCTTCTAGCCTCTGTGCTTTCTGATTAGAAACCTGCTGTTGATCTCATTAAGGATTCCTTATACATAAGTCTACTCTTTCTTGCTGCTTTCAAGATTTTCTTTTGGATTTTTGCTTCGTTGATTAGGAACTATCTAAGTGTGAATCTCTTGAGGTTTTATCTTGGAGTTTGCTTAGCTCTCTGGGTGATTTTCATCAAATCTGGGGTGTGGGGTTGTGGCCAGTTACTTCTTCATACGTTCTTTGTTCTCTCCTTCTGGGACTCCCATTATGCATATGTTGGTGTTGGGTATTATCTCACATGTTTTTGAGGCTCTGTATATTTTTCTTCATTCTTTTTTCTTTGTTTCTCAGACTGGATAATCTCAGTTGAACTATCTTCATATTTACTGATTCCTTCGTTTCCCTGCTCAGATCTGCTTGTGAGCCCCTCCAGTGAATTTTAAATCCAAGTTGTTACACTTTTCAACTTGAGAATTCTGACTTGGCTCTTTTTTTATAATTTCTTTATTCTCTCTCATTCTCATGCTTTCCTTTATTTCTTGAGATGCTGTTTCATTTTGTTCTTTGAACATATTTAAAGTACAGTTAAAGTCTTAGTTTAGTAAGTCTGAAACCTGAGCTTCCTTAAGGGACAGTCTGTTGATTGCCTTTTTCCAGTATATGGGCCAGACCTTGGTTTCTCTGCATGTTTCTTTTGTTGCTGTTTGTTTGTTTAGTGGTTTTTCTGAACTGATTCTGGACAGTTTGTATTTGTTGTTTGTGGCCACTGAAGTATTTGCAGTCAGGTAGTGAAAAGAGCAGATTCCCTTTAATGCTTGGAACCAGAAAATCTCCCAGTCTTTGTTGTAACACTTAGCCAGGCAGTTGACAGCTTTTCTTTACTGCCTTCTTCCTGCTTCCTCAGAGCCTCAAAGTCAGGCAGATGTGAAAGCTTGGGGCTTTCGGGGGGCTTCCTGAGGCTGCACACAGCTGTGCACATGCATGTAGCTGCTGGGTTCCCAGAAGCACTCTGGAGCTCGATGTCTTATTCCCCAGCCCTGCCTTTTAAGCGTTCTGGTCAGGCTATTGTTGCCCCCATGTTTTAGGCAGGCACAAAGTTTATGAATTGCCTTTTGATGTTTACAACAAACAGCCCTAGGGAAAAGGCTTTTCATCCTGGGAGAGCTTTGGAGTGAGTCATACCAGGACAGCCTTGCAAGTGGGATCTTCCAAGGAGCTGCCAGACAGGTCAAGTGCTAGTTGTCTGGGGACAGGGCTCAGGCATAAGGACAGGAGAAAGCAGAATGACCACCATGGTGCAGGCCAGAACTGGAGCTCTGCCCTTCAACATGTGCGAGGGGGACACTGTTTCAGGCACCCTTAACAGGTCCACAGCACCGCGCCCCCACCCCATGGACACTCGCAGGGCTCTCTGGCCCCTGCCTCAGTGCCCTCCCACCAGCTCTTAGACTGAGGTCAGGAAAGACATGAGGGTAGTGTACAGTTTTTTTTATAATCTATTTCTTGTCTCAGATACAAAAAAAAAGGAAGGTTGCCTTTCTGAACACAGCTGTGTGTTTTCCTCCACAGTAATTGAAATTAGGTTCCCATTTTCTTGGCTGCCTCAATTTGGAGTCTTCTTTTAGAAAAAATGTGCTGATTAAAGCCAAAGGGGGATCCCTGAACAATGGGTCTGAAGCGCTGCAGAGTTCATGAATGTAACTCAGTGTCCAGGAACCTGGGACCTGGTTCCGTCACCCAGTCCTGGGCCCCAGCCAGGCTGCAGGTCCAGGTTCTAAGGCTGGGGGCAGCAGGCTGGTGGTCCCTCTGGCGAGCTCTGCCTCCTGCCAGCCCCCTTCATGGCCACGTGTGACATCCATGTCTCCTGCAGGGTGGGAACAGCTTCCACGTGTCTGACCAGGGTCAGTTTGCCAAGGAGGTGCTGCCCAAGTACTTCAAGCACAACAACATGGCCAGCTTCGTGCGGCAGCTCAACATGTGTGAGTGCAGCGCACAGGGCCCCAGGGAGGGGGGTGTGCACTGCCGGGCCCCTGCATGTTGGCCAGCGCCTGATCCGCATCCCAGTGCTCCTGGGGGCTGAGCACGGGTGCCTCTCCCCCAGGAGTCGGGTCCTCTGGGGAAGAGCTCCGGAAGCCCCAGCTGGATGCAGCTGCACACAAGGAGGAGGGGGTGTTGGGACATGGGGTCTCTCTGAAACCAGGGCCACCCAGCCACTGCATGCAGGCCATCTTTAAGGGCTGTGCGGGGTGTGACCAGGTGGTGGCCAGGCTGTAGTGGGGAGTCTGGTCCCCCCAGCCCTGAGGCAGGGCCACCCCCGTGTCCCATCATGTACAGATGGCTTCCGGAAGGTGGTCCACATCGAGCAGGGTGGCCTGGTCAAGCCTGAGAGGGATGACACTGAGTTCCAGCACCCGAGCTTCCTGCGTGGCCAGGAGCAGCTACTTGAGAACATCAAGAGGAAAGTGACCAGCGTGAGTAGCCCATCTGCCACCCTTGTCCTCACGGCTCCCTCAGGCTACGCTCCTGCTGGCTGGGCCATGCTGAGCCCTCTCCTGTTGGGAAACCCCTTGGCACTGCGTTACATCCCAGGCCCTCCCCTCTTCCTTTGGGGTCCATCTCAATGACTGCTTTCCCTGGGGAACCAGGTGTCCACCCTGAAGAATGAGGACATAAAGATCCATCAGGACAGTGTCACCAAGCTGCTGACCGACGTGCAGCTGATGAAGGGGAAGCAGGAGAGCATGGACTCCAAGCTGCTGGCCATGAAGCAGTAGGTCCTGCAGGTGGGGTGGGGCGGGCCACTGTACAAGGGGCGAGGGGGTCCCAGGAACAGCCAGGAAGGCAGGGCTGGGAACAGCCTGGTTGGAGGCCCCAGCCCCACCTGCCGGCTGGTAGATCCTCCAGCATGGAGCTAGTGTGACTCTGCTGCCCTCCGCGGGCTCCTCCCACCGTCCCCTGAGCACGTGCACATGCAGCCCTGCCGGCCAGGGTGGCCAGGCTTCTCACCCAATGGTGCCCTACCCTCCAGCCTGCCTCTGCCCGCCTTCTGCACAGATCGCACCTCTCCTGCCACCTCCCCCTGAGACCTAGAGAGCAGGAAACATTTGGAATTCCTTTTGGAACCCCCTGCTGCCCTTGAGGCATGTTTGGGCACCACATAACCAACCCTACGCTCCCCCCCCAAGCCAGGACCCCAAGGAAGCCTGGCCTGAGTCTCCTCCTGTGCTCCTGAGGGGCCTTGGGGACCCCTGGACTCTGACCCAGGTGGCCATCTCTGTTCGGTGTGGCCTCAGAGCAGAGGGGCAGGTCCCCCTGACCTGCGTGTCGTGGACAAGGCTGCCGGGCCCCCAGCTCTCCTCACACGGGGGCCCAACAGAAGCCAGTGGCCACGTGACACCTAGAGATGGTGCCAGGCGCGCTTGGTCTTCCAGGACATGGCTGCCTCTCCAGCCGAGGCATGAGCGTCTATTCCATGTTAAGAAGATACGGGGCCTGGGTGGGTGGGGCTGCTGGCCCACTGGAAGGACAGGCCGCCGCCTGCTCACAGGCCTGCTCACCCGGTAGGGAGGAAGTGCTCAGGGGCCCCTTAGGGCCACCTCTGAGCCACTGTCCCCCTGGCCTGCCCTCCTGCTCAGTCGGGGCAGAGATGACCGAGGGTGGGTGGCTGTGCTCAAGCATCTACCACCTGATGGCATCCAGAAAAGCCTCAGGAAGTCCCAGCAAGGATCCTGGGGTGCGCCCAGCACCCTGTGCCCTCCATCCTACCTTAGCCTCCAGCCCCTCCCTTGGTAGCCCCACAGCGAGGGGCCTCCCAGCTGGCCCCTGGAAATGCAGCAGAGCCAGCAGGGGTGGGGTGCCAGCAAGTCCTGGCCCTGGCCCATCACAGCCGGGCCCATAGCCCAGGGCCCCCAGACCCCGGCCCTCTAGTCATGCCTGGCCTATTGCAGTGAGAACGAGGCCCTGTGGCGGGAGGTGGCCAGCCTGCGGCAGAAGCATGCCCAGCAGCAGAAGGTCGTCAACAAGGTGTGCAGCGGCGGCTGGTGGGGAGGGAGAAGGGGGTCCCCTCTGCAGCCCAGCTGACCACACTTCTGCCCTGCAGCTCATCCAGTTCCTCATCTCGCTGGTGCAGTCAAACCGGATCCTGGGGGTGAAGAGGAAGATGTGAGCCAGCCGCTGGGGATGCCTGTCCCTCCGCATGGGGCCCGGCGCCCAGGCCACCTGGTCTGGGTGCCGTGTCCTGGGTGCCTGAGCCTGGAGAGGCAGCTAACCCCACCCCTTCCCCACAGCCCTCTGATGCTCAATGACAGCAGCTCGGCACATTCCATGCCCAAGTACAGCCGCCAGTACTCCCTGGAGCACATCCACGGGCCGGTCCCCTACTCGGTGAGCACCAGCTGCAACACGACTGGCCTGCATGGCAGGTGCCAAGGCGCACACCGCATGAGGCCCCTTCCGTTTGATGGCAGGCTCCGTCCCCGGCCTATGGTGGCTCCAGCCTGTACTCCCCAGATGCCGTCGCCAACTCTGGTCCTATCATCTCCGACATCACTGAGCTGGCTCCCAGCAGCCCCTTAGCCTCCCCTGGTGGTATCCTAGACGAGAGGTGGGGGCACATTACCCTTCTAGCAGGGGCGGGACAGGGTGGGACCTACAGAGGCGCCTGCTGAGGTGTGTGTCCCCTGCATGCAGGCCCCTGTCAAGCAGCCCCCTGGTGCGAGTCAAGGAGGAGCCTCCCAGCCCCCCTCGGAGCCCCCAGGTGGAGGAGGCCAGTCCTGGGCACCCGTCCTCCGTCGTGGAGATTCCCCTCTCCCCAACTGCCCTCATTGACTCCATCCTGCGAGAGAGCGAACCTGCCCCTGCAGCCTCTGTCACGGCGCTCCCGGGTGCGGGTGCCCTGCCCGCCTCACCCCCGCCTGCCCCAGCCCCCGAGAAGTGCCTCAGCGTAGCCTGCCTGGACAAGTGAGTGTGGGAGTGCAGCTGGGCCTCTGGCTCGGACAGTCCAGGGGAGCCGGCCAGGGCTGCCCCACAGCCTCAGGAATGAAGGGCATGTGGCAGCTGCTCCTTGGGTTGCCCTGGCTGCAGCTGTCACCACCCCCCAATAGCCCACTGGGCCCTTCACTGTGTCCTGTCCTGCCCAGCAGAGGCCCTGCCCGAGGCTGGGCAAGCAAGGGTGGGGGGCACAGAGCCCCCCGGCCCCCACCTGCTAGTGGGCGGCTCTTGTCTTCCTATCTTGCAGTTTGGCCCGCACTCCACAGATGCCTGGGGTCACCCGCCTCTTCCCCTGTCCCTCCTCCTCTCTGCATGGCCGAGTCCAGCCAGGGTTAGCGCTGTCCCCAATGGGGAGGGAGGGCCCCACCAGAACTCGGGCCCCTCCTCAGCCTCAGACCAGAGCCCAGCCTGGTGGTAAACACCGAGCCCTGCCTGGCAGAAGGGCACCCCGGGCCCTCTGCAGTGGATGGCCTCCCAGCCAGAGGCCATTGCTGGTGCTGCCTGGGTCCCAGCTGCTGCACTTTGACTCAGGGTGGGGTACCTCCAGAGCTGGTTTGGCCATCCATGATGTCTCAGTCACAGCCACGAGACCCGGGTCTCTTTCCCACCATGCTCCAGGGGAGAGCCCCTTCCCTGTCCATGCCATCTTCCCATGCAAAGGCAAGACCTTGTCAAGCCACAGAGACTGTGCCCCCCTCCCATCTGAGTGGGAAGCCCCTCAGCATGTTGGTCCAGCCAGAAGTGCTGCCGAGGGCTCCCAGGGCCTCTCACTGAAGGAGAGCAGGCCTGGCTACTCTCCCCCAAGGCCAAGTGCCCTGGCCCTGCCCGTGCATACACTGACCCCAGGGCCCATTGCTGCCCTGCAAAGCAGGAGTTTGGGTGGGGTGGGGCCTGGCCGAGGGGAGCCCTTCTCTGGCTAGTGCCAACAGAAAGGCATCTGGTGGGGGCCCTAGGGCACCCATTCACATGCCCCACTTGCCCTGGCCAGGACTGAGCTCAGTGACCACTTGGACGCCATGGACTCCAACCTGGACAACCTGCAGACCATGCTGACGAACCATGGCTTCAGTGTGGACACCAGTGCCCTGCTGGATGTGAGTCCCACCCCACCACCTGCCCCACCCCTGCCTGCTCAGAGGCACAGCCTGACGGCCCTACCTTCCCTGCAGCTGTTCAGCCCCTCGGTGACAGTGCCTGACATGAGCCTGCCCGACCTTGACAGCAGCCTGGCCAGTGTGCGTAGGTGGGAGCAGGGTGGGGGCAGGGTGGGGTCAAACAGAGCCCTCACTGTACCCTCCCCACCTTGCAGATCCAGGAGCTCCTCTCCCCCCAGGAGCCCCCCAGGCCCCTTGAGGCAGAGAGCAGCAGCCCCGACTCAGGTGAGCCGAGCACCACCACCTCTCCACTCCGGCCCCACCCTCGCCCGCGCACTGACCTGGCCCCCGCCCCCAGGGAAGCAGCTGGTGCAGTACACGGCGCAGCCCCTCTTCCTGCTGGACCCGGGCTCCGTGGACGTGGGGAGCAGCGACCTGCCCGTGCTCTTCGAGCTGGGGGAGGGCCCCTACTTCTCTGAGGGGGAAGACTACACAGATGACCCCGCCATCTCCCTACTGACGGGCTCTGAGCCCCCCAGATCCAAAGACCCCACTGTCTCCTAGGGGCTGGCCAGCAGTGAGGCCCCAGCCCTGTGTGCCATGGCTTGCCTTGGGGCTTCCCAGCCACGCCTGGACTGACTGGCACAGCAGGCATCCAGAGTTGTTATTTTGGATTTTTACATGAAAGTTCCCCTTTCCCCCTCCCATAGAGATACACAGATATGGACAGATGGACAAATGACACAGGCAGAGGTCTATAAATGGCAGGCTCTACGCTGTTCTTCCTTGTCTTTGCTCAAACCCAGGGATGAGGTGGGCAGTGGTGTGGGAAGGGCACGGGTCTCAGGTCTGGAAGTCTGGGCTGTGGTGGCCACCTTGTGGGAGCGTGGATGCCCACAGCACAGCTGTAGCCATTGACTCCACAGGCCTCCCCGCGGGACCAGCTGGGCACAGGTGGCAGAGCCATCTCGTTCTCAGGGCTGGGCTGGCCCTGGGGCAAGGGAGGGTTTCAGCACCATGTGGTCTGAAGGGAGAGAAGCTGCCAGGACCAGTCCTGCCAGCCAAGGGGTGGGAGGCACTCACAGAGGGAGGTGTCGAGCTGCATCAGCCCAGATGCATGTCCCCAGGGGGTTGCCCACTACTCCCATCCTCTCAACAGGGTGCAGGAAACACTGCTTCCACCCCAGGTTCCAAAGGACATCCCTGACTCCAGAGCCACCAGTCCAGAGATAAGGACTTGGGGTTAAGAATTTCTGGTTGGGGCAGGGGTAGTACAGCCTGAGTCTACCACCCAGGTGCCACCTCTGACACTTGCCTTGTCAGGCCATGGCTACAGGTCAGGCTGCACCCAGCCTGGCATGGCCTCAAGGTTCCAGAGAGCCTACCCACCAAGGAAAGGTGGGAGCAGGGTTCCAGGGCTGCCCCCCACCTCCCTCAGACTTTGAGGGTGGTAGGGTCTGGGGTCAAGGCATCCTTGGCCAGGCTGCCCCGTGGGGCCTGCCCAGTGCCAGAGAAGTGGGTTGAGAAGGGCTGCAGAGCACCATTTCCCTGAGCCTCCTTGTGGGTGGTATGTGCTCTCGAGAGGGAGACCCAGGCAAGGCCTTGGCCAGGCTGCCCACCCCCCTGCACCCTGCTCAGCTGTAGCCAGACAGCTGCTCCTGGGGACACTGATCCCACCCCCATCCCAAGAGCACCCCGGCAACCTGACAGAGGGCCTTTGGCCCCCTGAAGCAGCTGCCTCAGTCCTGTGGGCCCCACGTGGCCCGGGCCACCACCCCCTACCGGCCTGGTTTCCCAGCAGGCAGAGGAAGCTCACTCACAACAGCACTTTTATTGACGCCATCAGAGCCTTGGGTAGGGTCATCACGTATTCCCAGGGCGCTAGCACCTCCTGCCAGCCAGGAGGGCGCCCCATAGGGGCGGAGAGGCTGCCCAGGGGCCAGGAGGAGGAGACAGCAGCCAGGCCCAGGCAGCGGCCGGCCCTGGCCATGGGCAGTGAGGCCACAGTGAGGCAGGCGGCCCTGGAGCAGCTCAGGCCGCTGGCGGGGCCTCGTAGTTGAGCACGTAGTAGTCGTGGACGTACATCAGCACAGCTACCGGCTGCCCGATGATGAGCGTCAGCCACACGGCTGCGTTGCCATAGTTGCCTCGGAAGAAGCGGCTCACTATCCAGGCCAGTGGGATCTGAGGACACGGGGAAGGTCAGCTGGCCCGGCGGCTCGAAGAGGGCAGGGAGGCGCGTGTGAGGCGTGCTCACCTGAGCCATCATGCCCGTGAAGGCCCAGAGGCGGAACATGCGCAGTGGAATGCTCACCAGGTACTGGGTGGGGGGAGAGGAGCGTCAGGGGCGTCTTTGGCACCCCCAGAGGACAGACGGTGCACCCGCAGAGCGCTCACCTCGTGGAAGAAGGCTGAGGCCAGGAACACCCCTGTTCTGGCTGCCCACTTACTGCTGCCCCGTCGAAGCATAGGCTTGTAGAAGTGTCTGCAGGGGAGGGGCAGTTGGATGGGCGCCCAGGGCCCTGCACGGAGCTGCCTGCCCTCCTGCACACCCCACCCACCTGATGCACCACTTGTGCACAGGGATGTTCCAGTTCTGCCAGAAGTAGGTGACGGACTCCGAGTTCCTGAGGGTCGAGAGGGTGACCAGATGGTGCCATGACCCACCCCAGCCCCCACCCCACATCCAAGGCCACCCACCACCAGTCCCTGTAGAATTCCCGGTCTCCAAACTGCATGAGCTCAGCCACGGCATTCAGGCAGGAGTGGAAGAGCCAGTAGAAGAAGATGAGCCAGATGAGGTGGTTAGGGACCTGTTGGGGGAGGGATGCCAGGATCCAGAGCACCGCCACCCCTGCCCCTGCCCACCTGTCCCACTCCACCCACCCAGGCTGCTCACCGCCAGCTTCAGGAGGCGCTCCATGATTCGGGAATAGTCCATATCCTGCAGAGACGGGGCTCAGCAGCTACTGGGCCTGGGCTGCGCCCCCACCCCCAGAGAACCTGACCACTCACCTTGAAAGGTTTCATGGAGTTCTGGATGGTGGGGACCATCCACTGCAGAGGAGGGCACAGCATCAGACCCCCAGCCCTGCTGAGCTGCCCACCCTGCCACCCTGCCTGCGCCTCTGAGTACCTGCTGGATCAGCCCCACCTGGAGCTGGGTGAAGAACAGCTAGGGGTGGAAACAGAGCAGCAGGCTGAGTCCCCTAGTGCCTGGTATGCCCCCAGACCCTTGAGCCCCCCAGCTTCCAGCCTCACCATCTCCAGGAGCCGCCGTAGCAGGAAGCGCTTACGGATGCGAGGGGAGCGGGGGAAGTTGAGCTCGTAGCACAGAGTAGGCGCAAAGAGGAAGTAGTACAGATCTGGAATGGAGAGGCAGGGCTGGCACCGCAGAGGCCTGGCCTGCAGCTGCCCACCCCCTTGGGGCCAAGCCCCTGAAGGATCCTCACCGTGGTAGGTCAGGTTGTCAGGATAGCTCACAGCACACAGCGCAGCTCCCCCATTGGCCTTGCTTCCAGAAGCTACAGGCAGGGGAGGGGAGGGGACGGGAGGGTGAGGCTGCCGCTGCTCAGGTCAGCCCCACGGCAGGCGGCACAGGCTCTGTGGCCCCAGCCCTGGGCAGCCCCTCACCAGCTGTGGCCTTGGCCCGGCGCTCTCGGCACCACAGGTTGACGTCCCGGTAGGAGACGAGCTTGAGGAAGAGGATGGTGTGCACCGTCAGAGCCAGCACGGAGCCCACTGCAGGAGAGACCGGCTCAGCTGCAGCCCTCCCGCACCACCCACGGGAGAGCCGTGGCCACGGGGCAGCCCTGAAGGCCCGGGTCTCTCCTGCGGGCCCCCAGGGTGGGCGAGGACAGGTGGGATGAGGGCTCACCTGGAGTGATGGACTCGAGCAGCAAGGCCACGGCCGCGGGGAAGCAGAGAACGGTGGTGAGGTTGACCACATGCAGCAGCAGCCCCGCCTGCTCCGTCAGGGCACCCTGGGTTGGGGCAGTGCTCAGCAAAGGGTCTCCCCGGGGAAGGGCCACTCCCAGGAGAGCTGAGCACAGCCTGAGACAGTGGGATGGGACGGCCTCCCACCCTCAGCCCAGGCCTGGCAAGGAGAGCCAACTGCTTACCACCGCCAGGCGCTTCTCTACCTGGAATGCAGCCACAGCAAAGACGTTGGCCACTGAGGACAGAAGCACCGTAGGGCAGGTTCAGGCCTGGACCAGCCCTGTACCCCCTCAGCCCTCCTCAGTGCCCAGCTCACCAATAACCAGGCAAAGGGCAGGCCAGCTGTAGGGGTCCTTCAGGAACAGGGACACCACCTGGATGGGGTCCACCAGGATCCCATACCTGGGGATCAGGCAGTGACAGTCTAAGCAGGTCTGAAGGGAAGAAGTGGGTGAGGCGCAGGGCCTGGAGGGCCAGGGAGGACACTTACTTGATGAGATTCTCCAGAAATAACCGCGCATTGCTCAAGATCTGCGACAGAGAACGGAAAGGTGTGGGCATTAGCCCTGGCCACAGGGCACCTGCTGGAGCAGTAGCCATGGGCTGGACCACAGCCTGGGTCCTGCAAGCACAGCCTGTCTAACTGCCACACCAAACTCTTGGGGCGTACCACCCACCTTCCCCCAATGGCAGGAACTTCAAATCCTTCAGCACTGCCCCTTACACTGGGAAAGGTAGCCAACCCCAACACCAGGCACCTCCCAGATGCCCACAAGCAGCTGCAGGAAGACCCATTGCCCAGCAGCCCTCAGCCATCCCACCAAGCTGGTGAGGCGCCAAGCTGGCACTGACAGCCCAGCCCAAGCCTGTCCAAGGCTTCTGCCCACTGGCGCCCAGGGCACCACCCTGCCAACCAAGCCAGTCCTTGCAGTGCCCAGGTGTGTGGCAGGCCTTGCACCAGGGGCATCCATGCCCAGGGGGCAGCAGGAAGAAACTGGCCAGAGTCAAAAGGGGCCAGGGGGCCGGGCCTGGAGCACCACCAGGCCCCCAGGCCCCACCATGGCTGTTTCCGTAGCACTCCAAGCTCCTTCCAAGGACCTGGTCCCATCAAACCGGGCACCTAGCGTCCCTTTGCAGGGTCAGGGACCTCCTCTTGTTCCACAAGGCAGACTCTGCCAACCCCTCACCCTCAAGCTCAGGCCCCATGCAGGGGTAATGGTAGGTTCTGTAGAAAAGGGACTCTGGTAGGGTCCCTTACCTGGGTGGTCAAGGAAGGCTTCATGAGGGGACAAGCTCAGAGATGCAGGGGCCCCTGCCCCACCCTCCTTAAGCCTGAACCACCGGCCTCCTGCCAGGATACATGGGGCCCCACACTGTCACCTGCCTGATAAAGTATGTCCTGAGGCCAAGGCAGGCAGGAGACAAAGCTGCTAATGGGCAGCACCCACCTAGAGGCTCAGGCCACACGGGATGCAGCAGGCAGTCTTGAACACTGGCTGCATGCCTCCTGAGGGAGAGGTGGTAGAGGCCCCGAACAGGGAGAGGCTTTGGGGCTGTACCAAAGGCCAAGCAAGTTACAGGACAAGCCTGTCCTCAACAGCTGCTGCTTTACAAACCCAGCATGGGCCAGGAATGGCCTCCAGAGACGACACATCAACTGGAGGCCAGGCTGGCATCTGGTGCTTTTGCCCAGCCAGCTTCACCCCCACCAGGCCGCATGACCCCCACAGCTCCACGGGGAGCCTCTTGGGACATGGGCAGGAAGGGCAAGGGTGACGTGGGCAGCAAGAGGAACCGCGGCCTAAGACCCAGGCAGCCATGCTGAGGTGAGGGTCAGAGGCCCCGACCTCCCTGCCCACCCTCCCAGCCCTGGGCTCCAGCTGCTTCCGGCCCCACCAGGCACCAGCAGGAACAGGTCACAGGGTAAGACAGAGGCAGGGACTCCGTCTAACTGCCCTCTTTGGGGGTACACAGGACCCAGGCTGACAGAGCAGGGCAGGGCCTGCAGAGCTGGGCCTTTGGAATAGCAGAAGAAACTCTTCTCAGACCCCCAAGACCACTCACACATGCTGCCAGGGAGGCCCAGGCCCACAGAGCCCACCATCTGTATCCCTATGGCCCGCCAAGCACAGGGCCTGTCCACCCCTCCCTGCTCTCCCACACCCATGCAGGAAGGCTACTAGGGATGCCCCTGTGCCCCTTGAGCACAGCTCACAGTACAAAGGCCTCCCACCCTGCCCTCTGCAGGCCTCTCCTGAATGAGTAGCCACTGCAGGGCCCACAAGAGCCTCTCTCCCCACCAGCCCCATGCCCGATACACCCTGGCCATGCCAGCCCTGGCCCTGCTCCCCCAGGGGGCAGAGCCTGTGCCCAGGCTGGGCCCCACCTTGCCACAGAGACACCAGACCACCTCACTCACCAGCATCACCACACACCAGTTCAGGACACCACGGTAGTTGCTGAAGCCACTATCAGAGCTGAACAAAGAGTCCTGCAGGCGGTGGCACCTGGCGGGGCAGGAAACACTCTCGAGCAGGCGCCAGAACAGGGCTGGCCCCTCAGGGGTAAGAACCTTGGGCAAGACCAGAAGCAGGCCTACAGCACCGAGCCCAGGGGCAGGTCAGAGCCCTGGCAGACACCCGAGGCCCAGTCCCTCAGGAGCCAGCCTCAGGGCCCAGGGCAGGATGGTCCCCAGCCCTTCCTCTGGGCAGCCCTCGTCCACCCTGGCCCAGCAGCCATGACCTATGCTCCAGCAAGCCATCTCCCTGTCCCCCCATCCTCTCCCCTAACAGGCAGAGAGGGCCTGGGCAGGGCAGGCTCTCAGGACCACCCTCCAGGCAGCAAGGAGGGCCGGGCTATAGACAAAAGCGCACACAGCCAGCCCGCCCAGCCCCAGGGCCCAGCCTCACTCCCCAGAGGCCTCTGCTGCCGCCATGCGCTCTGGCTACGGAGTGGTGATGGGCCTTGGGAAAAGCCCCCCCTTAGGGCCTGCAGGACCACAGCAATACCAGACAGGCGGAGGCAGGAGTTGGGGGGCAACTCCACCCAGCTCAGTCAGCCTATCCCACCACTCAGCCAGTCAAGGGGCCCCCCACCTCGAATCACCTCCTCCCCACAGTTGGCACACACAAGTCCAAGAGGGCACAGGAACACAGGGCCAGATGCACGCCCAGCCTCACATGCACCCTCCTGGGGGCCGGGGCCTGGCCCTTGTGCACGCGTGGCCTCCAGCTGTTGCTGAAACATGAGATCCTGCCCAGTTCAGCCACAGGGTGGGCCCTGTGTTCCTGCCTGAGTGGAGGAGGCCTAGAGGGGCACCTGACCCATGGCAGGGGACCAGAGGGCAGGGAGGAGGTCTCCGGCACACACACAGGCAAAGGCACCTGCAGTGCCCCGCCATGAGTGCCCCAACCCAGCGCTGGGGTCGGGGGGCACACAAGCCGTCTCTTGCCTGACCCCCAGATTCCAGCCGAGGTGGAGGAGGGGCCACAGGCTGGCAGGAGCAAGGCCCAGACCAGGCCCTGGGCTCACTCTCAGACTGAGGCCTCACCTCACCCCAGCAGCTGTACCACCAGGAAGCCCCACAGTGTTGCGCAAGGCCTCCAGTTTTGTAAGACACAAGGCCAGGGCCTCCCCATCTTCCTCTGTGGACACACAGCTTTATCTCGAGAGGCACCTGGGCAGGGTTAAGTGGGACTGGGAGTGCACAACAGGGGCCCCGCCATTCAGATGCCCTCTCAGGGCTGGCCCTCCCTCAGTGGCAAGCTTGGCTATGGCTGGAGTCACCCAGGAAGTGAAGCGCCAGGGAGGCTGAAATGCTGCTGGCAGATGTCCTCCCAGTTGTGAGCGTGGCCTCCTCGTGTCCATCTCCAAGGTCCACTCTGGACCTTGCAGTGATGCTGTAACCTCCACCCAAGCCCTTCTTCTCTCCGTCTCTGAACCTGCTCCTCCTCAGCCGAGCAGGGGGCCAAGCCCAACCCCCCAGGCAGGATGGTCTGCCCACCAAACTGACCTCCCCGGCCTCCTCCCCCAAGTTCACGCCTGTCCACTTCCACTGAGGCTGCCCAAAGTTGTGTCGCACCTCAGCCTGCCAACTGCCGTGTGCACACTGATGCCCAGCACACACAGATGACTGCTTCACAAGAGTGTGGCCCCTGCCCCTTGGGGCCACCAAGAAGACCATGCTGGCTTTATTTTCGGCAATCTCTAAGATGGGAGCCTGGGCAGGGAAAGAATGTCATCACCCAAGTCTGACGCCAAACGCTGTGGAAGCTTTGCAGACCCTGCAGTCAGGCTTTCAGGGCCTTCCCCAACCTGCCACGCCCACTCCTCAGGTCACTCTGTGGCCTCCCAACCACCCCAGTCCCAGGCAGCCACCCTCCCTGACAGGTCAGAGGCCCCACCCAGGGGAGGAAGCCCGCTGTCCAACAATACCCACGAAGGCCCAGCCTTGCCAGTACAGCGATAGCAGCAGTGGGCCAGATGGCAGGCATGGCCCAGAGCGGCCTTTGCCACCCTCTCCCCTACTTTGGGGGCCTCCCATGCCTCTGTGTCTGTGCCAACGGGCTCACACTGGTCTCCAGGCCCACGCAGCCAGCAAGGCCATTCTGACCCATCGGATGTCAACTCCCTCAACCCTCACATCAATACAGGGAGGCAGGCACGCTGGAAAACTGAGGCTCGCCGAGCTCTGAAGCCTGCCCAGGGGCACAGCCCCCAAGTGTGGACCAAGCCTGGGGCCCATAGAGTCCAGCCCCAGGTCAAAGCAAGGAGGGGGCAGAGAGCCAGCTCGCCTCCCAGAGGCCACCTCTCCAGCTCTTCCACTACCCAGGCTCCAGCCCTGAGAGGCAAGGTGGTGGGGTGGGATCCCCACACCTTCAGACCCCGCTGGAGGAGAGGAAACACCCCAGGGACACAATCCCCCCCCAGGAAGCCCTGCCCAGAGCCCCGGGGGCAGAGTGGAAAGGGGAGCCCAGCCCTCTCGTCCCCACAGCCACACCTTGCCATGGGCCAGATGAAATGAGCTCACACCCAGAACCTGACCAGCCTGCCTGCCAGGCCAAGGTGAACAGGAAGTACAGGGCACAAGGAGGAAGGGAAAGAGGAAGGGCAACAAGCAGGAAGGACGGGAGGCAAGGGAGAGGAGGCTGACGAGGATGGAGAGCAGAGGCCAAACTCCGGAAGAGCAGCCAGAGCGAGGCCTGGCCCTGCCAGCCCCCTGGGCCATGCCGCAGCCCCAAGGGCCCCTGGCCCCCGTGATACCTGGGTTTGAGGGAAAAGCACACATGGCCTGTGTGTCCTGGAGACCAGAAGGTGACCACACTAGCCAGCTCCCCCTCCAGCCCGGGCAGGCCACCCCTGCCATCTTCTGCTCTTCTTCCCAGGAGTTCCAGACCTCAGGGGTGGCAGACAGAGCTCTCACTCACTCAGCCCGCACTCAGCGGGAAAGGGACTGCCATCCCGGGGTGGCACCTTGGCCCAAAGCCAGCATACCCCCATCTCTCACAAAAGGGCCCAACGTACCACCCACTCCGGGGGGAGATCATGCTAGCCATGCCCCTGCCCCCTGGAGAGGGTAACTCAAGGAGTTGGCAGAGGAGACCCTGGGACCCTCCTGCCTTTGAGGCCTCCCTCAGTGCCAACTCAGGCCCACAGGGAACAAGTGCCCCGCTTAGTGAAACCACCTCCTCCCCCACCAGGCCTTCCACAACCCTGTGCCTGACCTTTGGTCACACTTCAGTGCTGGGATTATCTTATCTCCCAGGTGGAATGAGAGCACCCCAAGGGCAGGACCGAGCCTGCACCCCGTCTGTCCTCACCCACCTCCTCCCCACAGTGCCTCGTGAAGAAGACCTTGGCTCTGTTTAATGAGAGAGCAAATCCTTGCCACACGACTAATGGCCCACTTCCTCCTTCGTGACCTCTACCCCCGAAGTTGCTCCCAAAACCAGAGCCCCTGAAGGCCTCTGGGCCAGGGTGAAGGCCAGAATCAGAGGGCACCTGGAGGGTGGCAAAGGGACCGCTTGGAGCCAGCTTGGGGGAGAAAGCCAATGCCCAGGTGGGCCAGGCCCTCCCTGTCACCCACAGGCTGCTGTGCCTACCTCTTCCTTCCTGTTGTCTTTCAGCTAAGCAGGGTGCCCACCTGTGGGTGTGCCCACTTCAAATCCTTCTCCTGTACCCCAACCAAGAGGACCCAATACAGAACCCAACTCTATCCCTACAGCAGGGCCCCAGACCAGCCAAGCTCTAGGTAAGGGATGGGCCAGCCACGAAGGGAAGGTACCCCCGTAAAGACCACTCTCCGACGGCCTTGGTCTCTCCGGGCCCCCTCCGTAGCGGGCTCACCCTCCTCTGGGAGCTTCCTTATCCCCAAAGCCCCCCCGCAGCCTCAGGAATGACCCCCTTCATCACAAACCACCCGACCCCGTCCCTCTCCTTCCAGACTGAGGAAACCTGAGCATGGGTGGAACCAGCCCGCCAAAGGCGCCGGGCTCCCGGCCTCCACCTGGGGAAGGGCCTCCGGGCCCACCTGAGGACGTGCTGACACAGGAGAGGTTTCGAAGCTGGGCTACAGGCGGCTCCCCTCCGAGCTTCCCACCTGGCTGACCTTGGCAGGCGACCCTGCACCCCCGGGCCAGTTTCCCCGCGGAGGCCGGCGGGGCACGACGATGCGCGCTTAGTACGGGCCCAGTGTCTGGGCCTCGGAACCCGCGCTGCTGCGGCTACGCCCGGGGTACCGGAAGGGTCGCAGGGCTCGGGGTCGGGGTCAGAGGTTACAGTCCTGGTGCGCCCGTACCTCAGGTCCCAGTAGCCGCTACCTACGTCGGCATCTCTGTTCTTGTCCTTGGCCGATGCCAGAGCCGCCGCGTCCCCGCCTGCGCCCGCGTCCCCCACTTCGTCGTCCGCCCCCGCGGGACCGCCGCCGCCCTGGCTCGTGGGCCGCGACCCAGTCCTCCGGCGCCGGGAGCCGCCCGCGCCGCTGCGGTCACCCATGGCCTCAGCCCACACCCTGCGGAGACCAAGTCGTGGCCCGCCGGACTTGCCGAGCCCGCAGCCCGCAGCCCCGCCTCCGCGCCCTAGGCCAACACTCGCCACGCCCCCTGCCGGCCGCCGTAGCCCGCGCGCCGGCCTGCGCCGCCAATCAGCGCGCGCCCCCCAGGCCCTCCCAGGACGTGCGGCCGCGGCGCTCCGCGAGCTGCACACTGGCTTGTGGACTCGGCGCGCGTCTATTTGTAGTGCGCGGGGCGCGCGAGGCGCGCTGGGAGCCGAGGTGGCCGGCGCGGGGCACGCCGGGAACCGGGGTCCGGCGAGGGGAGGAGGGGCGGAGTGCGGCGGCAGGCGTGCCGCGGGTGGGTGACCGCCTCGCACGCGTGGCTCGGCTTCTCCGCGGAGCACGCCTGGCTTCCTGGCAGCTGCGCTTCCCGCCCGACGCTTGATGCTTCTTGTCGCACTCTACAAACACAGGCTCTCGTCATTCAGCCCAGGCGGAGGGTGGGGATGTAGGTTATTTATGAAAAACCTCGTGCGCTACAGTCCGCCGCCAACGCCTCGGTTCCCGAACGCGCATCTCGCGGCGCGGTTGAGCTCCGCGATCCCTCTATTCTATTACCTCCGCAGTCATCCGCTTTTCCTCAGTGCAGGTTGTCCAGACAAGCGCCTGGCCCGAGGATGGAGAGGGAAAGAGGCCCCAGACCCCGCGTCCCCGAGACGCCGGCCCTGCCAGCAGATTTGCAGGGCCTCCCGTTTTCCACCCGGGCCAGTTCGCCAGAGCGTAGGGAGCCAGGGGTGCCGCATCACGGGAACCCAGAGGCTTCTGCGTTATGCCAGCCTGTGAATCGCCCACTCGTTAAATGAAGCAACTAATCCACCTTAACAGCGGTCCACGGGCGGCCAAGTCTCCATCCCACCTTGGCTTGACAAGCATCTTTGTACAAGGCATGGAGTGGGAGCGTCCTGGATGTCGAGTGAGGGTTCACTGGGGACTCTGGCCTGATTAACCCATTAACCATTTTCTCCCGAGGTGAGCTGGGCCAAGAGCGCCACTCGAGAAGCAAACGAACCAGGAGGCTCAGCCTGAGGTCAGCGGCCTCCCTTATGGACTGACCACCGCCTCTCCGGTGGGCTCGCCCTTGCTCCACTGCCTGGTGCCCTGGTCCCCTGGTGACACATCCTTGCTGCCACCAGGCCATCTGGGACTGATGCCAGCAAGGCATCCCTACCTAGCAGACTGGGTGTACCTGGCAGGGATCTTCGAGTAGCCTGCTGAAAGGCACTGCCCTAGCTAGGCGGGATAGCCCTCCTGCGAGCCCATGTGGCTGTCTGTTATCCGGTCTCCTAGGATGTTCGTCGGTTCATCAGCTGACCTGAGCCAGGCAGAGCTAAGCCTTTCTGACCACTGATCCCAAGGGAGGGCAGACGAAGGAGATGGTCCTCCTGGGAGCCCGGAGTGTCGGGGTGAGCTAGGCCAAGCGCACCCACGAGTCAGTAAGCGCCTTCTGGACATACCGACCTCCAAATGAAGAGCCGAGAACCAGAGGGCCGGCCCTGACTAGCACACCAATCGGCAAAGAAGAAGATTGACAGGCAGCCAGTAGGTTCGGAGAGGCTGAGCGCAGTGGCCACTGACGGGTGAAGGGTCATATTGAAGGCAGCTGCCTTGTGTCCATCTCCCGGCTCCCGGCCGATGGCTGACAAGTGGCAGCAGGAGTGAGGCGACCGAAGTGGACCGGGGACCACCACGGAGGGCCAATCTGGCCAGGGTCTGGGGGGAGACAAGGTTCGGCATTGGAGTTGGGGGTGAGGAGAGCAGGGCAGCGAGCCTGTGAGCGCAGTAAGGAAGGCCTGAGGAGCCCGAGAGAGGGCGGAGGGTGGTGGACGGGGCCTTGCCGGAGGCGGGGCCTATGCCAGGCCCCCTCCACAGCCCCAGGACTTCAAGATCCACGGTGAGGTGCAGCCCAGAGCACCAGGGAAAGGGAAAAAGCCAAGGTAGGTGAGGTTGGATGGGGACAAAGTTGTGCGTGAGGGGGTGTCGAAGAAAGCTCAGTGGGGATCTCCTTTCCGGGAGCAGCAACAAATGGGGGGACGAGGAGCCTTGCAGGCCTAGTTGGAAGGGAAGAGGGGTTAAGAAAGGGGTCGGGCTGATCCAGGGTGGAGGTACTGTGGGCAGCACGTGGGGGCCTGTGAGGGGTGCAGCCAGCAGGCAGACATGAGGCATAGTGGTCAACAGCTTGTGCTGCCCATTCTCTGGGATGCAAAGTCCTGTCCATGGACACCTGTGGAGACTGAGGGGCACGCTCATCCCAAGCCACAGGGAGGCAGCCTCCATCTTTCCACTCCCACTGCCTCTCAAGAGTCCTGGAGATGCAGAAATAGCCAGTCCAGACCCAGAAGCTCTGGAGCCCTGGGAAGGAGTGGGCGTCTAGGAGCCTTCCTGCCTGCAATTGGTGCCCACCTATGTGTGGTTCCTGGTGTAGGGTCAGAAGGGGTCGTACTAGGCCTACGTGAAAGGCAGTTCCTGGATAAGCTGTTTCCTGCAAACTGAAGTTCTTGCTATGCCAATTGTGCGGTAATGCCTCCAAGCTAGTGACAGTGGAAGTCAAGGATCCCTGTGCAGGAGGGCCTGGCTACTGACCTCCAGTACAGGGGCTTTCACTCCTGAGGTTTTTACTGCCTACAGTGCTCCCCAGAAGGGGCGCCCCCCTCCACGTGATCCCCACCCTGAGCATCAGGCCCACAGGCTGAACTGCTGGTCAGCCTCCCCTGCTGTCCACCCCAGTGGAGCCGGACCAGGCCTGTTGCCTACCAGGGTGTAGACAGCTGTGCTGACCCTGGACTGACCTGGTTTGACTACATGTCTCCAAAGACTTTGGGCCTTTCAGCTCATGCCTGCCTACCTGGATGCCAGGGAGCTCTGCTGGAGTAGGAAGTCCCTGTCCCTGGGCTGTCCCAACCCAGCACAGCCCCACCCCTCATCTCAACTTGATTCATCCCATCTAGAGCTCCAGGGCTATGAGTGGCAGCGGAAGCCTCTCTGTCCCATGGCACCTCCTCCCCAGAACCAGCCTGGCCCAGCTGTCCATGGAGGTCTCCTCAGACAATGGGGAAACATTCCCCAAGTCTTGGGGTCTGGGTGTGGGCAGCAGGCTGCAGAAAAGGGACAGAACTCGCACCCTCTGCTGTCCCTATTTTCCCTGACAGCATCAAAGAGGGCTTGGCGGTGGCTGTCACAGCTGCAAGGGCAACAAGAGCCTCTACACAGAAAGTGGGGGAGAGTGGGGGGTACACAGTCCATAGGACTGCAGGCCCTGCTGTACCCACTCAGGCAATTCTGAATCACCCCTGAGCTGGGCCTGACTTCAGGCTGGAGCCCCTTAGCTCCTGCAGTGCTTCGCTTTCAAGCTGGGGCTTGGCCTTCCGAGCTGGCCTTTTGCAGGTGGGAGACAGCCCTCTTGCAAAAAAGGGACCCCAGCACTCTCTACGAAAGGCAGTGACCTGGCCCCAAGGCTGCAGGGGCAGGATGCTACTCCCAGTGCTGGGCCTTCGCCTGCCGGGTCTCTGGGGTGTGGCAGGATGGGGAAGATGCCCCCCCCAGATGTCCCTTGTACCTCCTGCAGAGTGGCCAAGCCCTGGATACATCAGCCCAACACTTCAAGTTCTATCAAGAGTGGCATTTATTCTCCTCGTGGAGGTGCGGCGCTCCGGGGAGCTGGTGCTATTGTGCTTAGGAAGGAGGTCTGTCCGTCCGTCCGTCTGTCCGGCCGGCCCGGCCCCAAACGGGGGCGGAAGAGGGGCGCAGCCCGAGTAAAAATCCCGGCCTGTTCCGGGTGGGATATGTACAAGGCGGCGGGGCACAGGCGGAGGTGGGGGCAGGGCGGGCCGGTGGCCGCAGCCCCCACCTGAGGGCCCCCGCATCTCGGGCCCTACTCGTATAATCAGTACAAAATAGGCGCTACCTAAACGTTCCTTCTACCTGAATTCGCTAAGTCGGTTATTGTGCTGCTTAGTTATGGGGCGGGAGGGGGCCCATGGCTTTCCACGGCGGCGGGGTGTGGAGAGAAGCGGAGACCCTGGCTGGCCCACGGCCCTGCGGCCTTCTCCTTAGGTAGGTAGACAGGCGTGTGTGGGTAGGGTGGGGCACCTGTGTGCGCGTGTACATGCGGATGTGCCCGGTACAGATCGGCAGGCCCCAGCTTGGGAGCTATGTGGGTACTGAGCCCTGGTGTAAGGGGTTTGGGATGCAGGCCTGCTGTGCTGGACCCTTGGATCAGTTCCTGTGAAAGTAGCTGGGCAGCAGCCGATCTTGGTGCCCACAGGGATGGCTGACCATGTCATACACTCTAGCAAGCACCTTTTCCTCTAGCCTGGGGCACTGGCCCCACACGGCAGAGGGGTGGCAGCCGGGGAATGGAAGGACTGGGAGTCAGTATGGGTGGCCCTGGGTCTCTGCCACCAGAGCCAAGAACACCAGGCACAAGTCAAAGGTAGAATGCCACTGCACCCAGCACTGGCCCCAGGCTAGAGCAGGGGGGAGTGAGGGGCACCTGGTCTGGTCTAGGCCTCTCTCTATCTGTCTCCCTCCCTGGCCCATCCAAGCCCATCGGGCCCCTATCACCAACGTGCACCCCCAAAGGTCGTCCCGTCCCCTGCAGATTGAGCATCGGGCCTGGCACATTGTAGGTGCCCAGTAAACGGACAGTGGGTGATGGACGACTGAAAGAGGGGTTTGGGGGGAAACAACCCCGCCCCCTGCCCCTGGAACCATTACATCCGCCGGGTTCTGCCGTGGGGGATGGGGGGAGGAAGGGGGAGAAAGTCTGCGCGTCCGGCCCCGCGCAGCATCCCTGATCTAGGGGCCTATGGGGTGGGCAGGGCAGGGGATACCTGATTCTCAGTAACTCTAGAGGCGGCGGCAGCTTCACATGCAGTGCGCATTATTGCTCTATAGTCGGCATCGGACTAACTAAGATAGGGAGCGGGAGCGGGCGCGGGCAGCCCCGGGAAGGGACTGGAGGAGGGTTGGGGCTGCATGCAGTGACGTCACAAAGGCGGCGGCCAATGGGGCGGGCCCTTGGGGCGGGTCGCCGCCGAGGCTTTGGCATAGACGGGCGAAAGTTGGCAACAGTGTGGGCGGGGCACGGGGCTCGGAGGAGGGGCCAGCCTCTGAGAGGCGGGACCTGAGACCCCAGAAGGCGGAGCCCAGGTGTGGGGGCGGGGATCAGGTGCAGGGAAAGTGATCCTGGACATCCCAAACCCCGGGCGTCGGCGGGAAGGATAGGGGCTCAGCGCCCCTTCCCTGACCCGAGTGCAATCCGTTCATAAATAAAACGTACAAATACAGAAAGAAACCCGACGCATCCGCAACCCCCCAAGGGGATTTACCCGCAAAGCGAATACAGGGAAGTATGTTGAGGGCCGTACCCAGGCCTACCTGCCGGGCCCCAGGAATCCATCCTCCAATACCAAATGCCCGGGTACGAGGGAGGGGGCCCCGGGGCAGGGCGGGAGCGGGGTCTGAGGAGGTCGGATAAGTCCATGCGATTCGGTATGTGTCATTATTATTCGTTATGGAGGACAGAGCCCGGGAAGCCGGGCTGGAAGAATTCGGATTTGGCAGAGGATGCGAGGTGAGGGTAGGAGAGCGGCTCGGATGGAGGCCCCAGAAGGAACTCGAGGAGAGGGGTGCCGCCGTCCGCCCCCCTCCCCGATCCCCAACGCGTCTATGACTCCGGGGTTCAGCAAAGACTGAGGAGCCTCCTGCTCCTCCCCCCGGTCTGCTCCCTGGACGTCTAGGCCGCAGGCCTGGCCCTGGAAGGCTTAGGAAGGGTTGGGGAAGACCTGAGTCTCTGCAACGCGATCCAGGGGCTCAGAGGGAGGAAAGGGGTGCTCCCTATCTCACCCCATCCCCTTTTCAGAGACCTAACTCGGAGATGAGGTTCGGTTCTGGGTCTCCTGGACCCTATTGCTGGGAAAAAGCCTGGGGCACCGTGGAGGGGAAGGGAGGGGGTTCGGGGTGGGTCTCCCCTCGGGACCCTATTGCTTGAAGGGGCCGGGGAGGCCCCTGGCAGGCGGGGCGGGGCCGGGCCCCCTCCCCCTATTGCTGTGAGGAGGGGCCCGCCCTCCGGCCCTCCCGCGCGCGCCCGCGGAGACTTCCCTGGGGGCCCGTATTGCTGAGAGCCGACCAGGCTGACGGAAATACCGCCGCCCTAGGCCTGCACAGGGCTGAGCTGTGGCGGCGCAGCCGACGCCGGGGCCGCGGGGCCACCGCCGCCGGCGCCGCCCTTGAAGCAGGCCGACTCGTAGTGCTTGTTGAGATAGGACTTGAGCGCGAAGCTCTTCTTGCAGCGCTTGCACTGGAAGTGCTTGAAGGCCGAGTGCGTCTGCATGTGCGCGCGAAGGTTGGAGCGGTCGGCGAAGGCCTTGCCGCAGTGCGCGCAGCCGAAAGGCTTCTCCCCGGTGTGGGAGCGCATGTGGCCCTGCAGCAGCCAGGGCCTCGAAAAGGCCTTGCCGCACACCCCGCACTTGTGGCGCAGGTCGTGCGTGAGCAGGTGCATGGCCATGGCCGGCATGGACACGTACACCTTGCCGCACGTCGGGCACCGCCGCGCCAACTGACTGTCCAAGCTGCGGTGCGTCTGCTTGTGCCGGCTCAGGTTCGACGACGTGGCGTACGTCTTGCCGCACTCGCCGCACGCGTGCCGGCCCCCTGAGCCGCCGACCCCGGGCCCCGCACGCGCCTCTGGGCCCGCTCCCGAGCGCGCGCCGCTCCGACCCACGGCCCCCGACCCAGCGCCACGCGCGCCTGCCCCAGCCCCGCTTCCGCCTCGGCTGTCGCCTTCGGGGGAAGCTGCAGAGGCCGTGGAGGGGGCGGCGGCAGCGTTGGCGTTGGCGGCCTTACGGCGCGAGCGCCCGTCGGTGATGAAGAAGGCGTCAGCCGCGTAGCCCTCGCTGACCGCCGCGTCGCCGTTGATGTAGCCGCCTGCGGCTGTGGCCAGCTCCGGGCGCGGGGTGGGCGGCGGTGCCGAGCCCGCGGCCGCCGGGCCCAGCTCTCCCCGCACGGCAGCGGCATACATGGGCTCCGGGGACGGCCCTTTGAGCAAGGCCGCCTCGGCGTCGCCATCGTAGACAGAGGCGGGCCCCGCATAGTCGCTGAGGTATCCTGAGGGCCGAGGCGAACAGGCAGACAGCGGGAGAGAAATGGCAACGGGCGAGGGCACGGGCGGGCGGCGGGAGGCACCGGGGTCCGGGGAGGAAAGAGCAGGGGGAAGGACAAAGGACAAGGAGCCGAGGGACCACGGGGCAGGGAGGATGGAGACGGCAGGGAGGGGAAGAGAAGAGAGGGCAGATGAGACGCGGCCGGCCCGGCCCCGCCCCCGCTGCCCGCCCCACCCTGGCAGGGGGAGGAAAGAGGAGCGTCTCGGGGCGCGAGTGCCCCCTTCCTCGGAGCCTCAAGGTCAGGGGGGAGGGGCGGTGCTTCCCTCCCCCTCCCCCTCGGGTTCTCCCCACTTCAGCAGTTTTCCGTGATTATGCAACACACTGCAGACCCGCAGCGCACAAAGCCAGGATGCTCGCCCAGGGACCCCGTTGCTCCCACCTCTTGGGGTTTCCACCGGCTCTTCCCCTGGGCCTCCAGAGCCCATGATACTGCCCTTCTCTGGTCCTCTAAGTCCCCCTAGAAGCCCTAGAGACTTCCTCCTGCAGCCCCTCCTGCCCTCCCTGGCACCTCCCCCATCTCCCAGATCTCCCCTACTCACTAGACCTGACCCCCTTTGGGCTGAAGCCCCATCTCCCTCCATCCTCTCCCTTCTCCCCCCACTCCCTTTGGTCATCCTGCACCACTGGGTCCCACCTCGTTCCACACTGTCCTCTTCCCCCAGGCCCTAACTTCTTGTGGGGGCCTTCCTAGGCCCCAGCACAGGCGACCACGGAAATCCAGTGTTGGAGAGAGAACCACCTTGGGGGGAGAGGGGGTCGTTGTCTACCATGGGGCACGTTCACAGGGACTCACGCCAGTAACTGCAGCTGTTCTCAAGGCATAAGATAGGCCTCACAGCCTCAGCCACAAATGCACACCCCACACTATGCAGGCTCTGCTTCTACACACAGCCTCCCAGTCACTGTCAACTCTGGAGTCCCCTCACTGAGCTGCGTGCTGGTCCCACACATGCCACCTACTCATGCAGGGTCACACATGCAGGCACCCTGGACACACTCTAAGCCAGGGTTGCTAGTCACATGGGTGTACAGTGGGGCCTCCAGGTCACATGGTCCCATGTAGTGGCACATAGGCAGGCACACACTGATACAGGGTCACACACAAGCGCAGTCACATGGCCACATGCAGTCACATGGGTGCACACAGACTCATGCTCCTGCAGGTCACACTTGTCCTGCCACCCCAGGTTGCTGGCACTCCCAGCCCTCTTGCCTGCGTGCTAACAGTTGTCCTTGAACTTGGGCACCCTTACACAAAGAGCCTCTCCCTATCTCCAGCACTTTGGACCTCCCTGCCCGCAGCGCACCAGCAGACACACTTCTTCCTGACCCGGGCTTCAAGGAATGTACTATTGCTGCCTCTGCTGACCCTTTTGCCCCGACAGGTGGTGGCCCCCAGTGCCTCCATGCCTACTCCCTGTAGCTCACAACCTCCCCTGCTGGGCCTAGCAAGGGGTCCTGGAGGTGTAGTCAAAGAGAAGAGAGTACTAATGAGACCCGGGTTTCTGGGTGTAGGTCTACATGCAGGCAGGTCCTGTCGCTGTCTGTCCCAGCATGGTTCAGGGGATGGGTCCGCGTGTCCCTTCTGGTGCCACCTGCTTCTGACCCGTCCCTCACCCTCTCTCCTGCCTAGCCTTAGCCTGATTCTGGCCTGCCTCTGCATTACCCTCTCCATGTCATCTCCATGCCCTTCCACAGCCTGCCTCTAGCCACCGCCTCTTGTTCTTCTGGTTCCGACAGGCCTCTTTCCTGGGTCCTCCGTCCCCTCCACCCCCACACTCTGGCCCTCCACCCCTCCAGCACTGCCGTGGGCCCCAGCCGCTCCAGCCTCAGCCCCGCTCGCACCTTTCTCGTGTAGTCGCACACCGAGGTCGCTGCGAGCGCGCCCGTAGGAGCTCTCGAGGTCTGCCGAGGAGAAGGTGTCAAGTTTGACCTTCTTGACCAGGAAGGACCTGGGCATGATTCCTGCAGGGCTCCGGCGCTGCAAGCCTGCGGAGCCGGGGCGCGGGGGGGCTGCGGCCGCGGCGGGGCCCCGTCACCATCCGAGGAGCGGCAGAGGCAGCACGGGTCCCCACGCCGGCCTTTGGATGCTGCCGCGCGAGCGCCGTCCTCCCTGCTGCCCTCCCGCCCTGCGTGTCCTCTGCTCCTCCGAATCCTCCTTCCGTCCTTCTCTGCTCTTCTCGTCTTGTCTCTTCCTTCCCTCCTTCCTTCCTTCCTTCCCTCCTCTGGTCCCGGCTTCCCAGCCCGCAGTGCCGCCCCTGGACAGGCGGGGGAGGAGGCGGGGGGGGGGGCGGGAAGGGGGGAGCGGCTCCGTCCCAGGCCCGGAGGCTGCGAGTGGGTGCAGGGCTGGCCCGGCTCCGCGGCCCCCTTCCCCTCCCCCCCGCCGCGGCGGTAGAGCCTCAGTCAGCGGCCCCCCATTCCCCCGGGGGTGGCGGCGCCGGGCCCGGAGAACGCAGCGGAGGCGGGAGCGCCAGCAGTTTCAGCACCACGGCCAGCGCCGGCGTGGCCAGCACCGCGGCCAGCGACCGGGCGCTCTCCGGGGGCGCGAGCGGCGAGGGGTGAGCCGCAGGGGCTCGGCCGCCGGGCGGGGGTCCTCGACGGGGGTCTCTGAGAGGCTTGCTTTATTGTTCTGCAGCCGGAGCGAACGGCGACGGCGGGCGGGGGTCTTCGGGGGGAGGGGTGTGCAGGGAGGGCGGGCTGAGGGAAGGAGGGAGGGAGGGACAGGGACTTCGGGGGCGGGGCTCGGCGCTCGGACAGCTCCTGGGCCGGGCCTCCTGTGCCCGCGGCAGCCTCTGCCTGCGGCCGGACACAGCCTCCGGCTTTTAAAGCCCAGGAGGTGCAGGAGGGGGAGGGGACAAAGGGGGCGCGGCCAGAGGAAACTGCTGCGCAGGGCCGGGCCCTGGCCAGTCTCCTGAGAGGGGTCTTGGAGGATGCCGCGGTCCCCGCAAGTGTGGAGTTACCCCGAGCGGCTCCGGATACGCAGGCCCAGCGGTCCGCGGCATTGTCGGGCGTGGGGGCAGAGTTGAAACAGGCCTGGGACTCACGAGGCCTGAACTGGGGATCTTTTGGGGAGGAAAGCATGTGGACCCCAGTCTGATCCGGCCCGCCTAGCTTTCGGGTAGAAAAGCAAGGGATCTTCGGGGGCGGATGGCGGAGGCGTAGGAGAGAATGCTGAGGCAGCGAATGCGCAGTGTGGAAGCGCTGCGCGCGCCCTGTGCCGCAGCGTCTCCTTACCACCCGGTCACCCGGCCTGACCCCGTGCCCGCTGGAGAGGCCTCCCTCCACCCCGCCTCTCTCCCAGGGGGCGGATATCGAGCGCAGCGACGACGCAGCGAGACGGGTGTAGAGGGGAAGAGGGGCTGCCATGCCCTTGCTCCAGGAATTCGGCTTCATTGGTTTTCCGCCCTTCCGCACGGCTACAGCTCCCCCACGGCGGCCCCGCAACCAGGCGGATAACCCTTCCCGCGGCCGCCCGCCTGGAGTTTGCAGCCCCATGACGTCAGGCTCAGCAGCCAATGGCGCGGTGCGAGGTGCGGGGGGTTCCGGGACGCACAATGGCTGCGCGCGGGGACATATGTCCCCAATTAAAGACCTGCGCCGCCATTGTCGCCTCACCCGCCCCCGCCCGGTGGCTCGGGTCTCCACGCTGCGAGCGCGCCTCCACGCGGCCCGCTGGGGATGTAGGTCGCGCGGGTGGCTCCGGGGAGTGTCCCGGCGCGGCGGAGCCGGGACTGCGTACAAGAGGGCGCGCGCGCACCCATCGCTGCTCGCGGTGACCTTGTGCGGGCGGACCGGCGGACACCAGTCGGGAGCGCGCACGCGGGGGCGTGTTGGGAGTGCTGCGCCCAGCACCGTGCTGCCTCCGGCCCTGCTCCCGGCTTCCCGCGCTCGTCGGCCCAGGAGCCCAGCGAGGGTGGGTGTGAGTGGAGGAGGGTGGAAACCACCGGCCCGCTTTATGCAGCGGCAGGATATCCATCTTGCGTGGCAGGCTCTCCCGAGGGGCCGGGGCGGGGCGCGGCCGCCCCCTTATCGCAGAGCTGCAGCCGGCACGGCCCGCAGTAGGTAGGGGCGGGGACGGGGACCCCCTCGGCCAGCCGCTAGTTCTTGCCCCCTCCCAGGGGTCTGGGCCGAGGCGCAGCCGGAGGCGCGAGGCCAATTAGCATTTTGATTGCGGAACTGGGGGCCCATCTGGACGGAGCCCTAATTACCCGGCGAGCCCTCGGGGCGCCGGCGGGACGCGCCAGACGCCTTCCACCCCCTCCCGGACAGTGCGCCCCCATCTCTGCTCTCCGACCACATCCCCGGCCCCCTCCATGAGACACCCTGCCAGTCGGTCCCTGCGCTTTTGTCCCTGCGGCCTCCACCTCATGCCTCCACTCCTCCCCCAACCTCCGGCCCCATCCTTTGACCCTCCCTCTTCACCCCCCATTCCGCCATCGCCCTCCTCTCCTTGTCTCCGTCCACCCTCTCTGTCTCGTCGTCCGCTTCCCTGCCTCTCTGTCAATTTCCCAGTCCCTTAGGCCCCCAACCCTCTGAACAACGCCTCTAGAACGAGGCGTGACGCCTCAGAGCGCAGACACGTGTGTCCCAGGCCAGGCTCTCCCGAGGGACCATCCGGCAGGCTTGCTCACGCTCGCTGGGGTGGAGCCCGCAGCCCCTGGGGCACTCGGCGGGGAGGGGCAGCTGGGCCCAGGCCTGGGTCATCAGCCCCGCAGCGGCCCGGTGTGGAGCACACATGCGGCCCCGGGCTGAATTACTTGGGCTTCACTGCCCCGCGTCCATTCCAGTATCCGGCTTGCCCTCGCCGGATATCCTGAGGTCTCTGCGTCCCGGTCCTGGGGTCCCTCTAGAAGAGAGGGTGGTGGAAGGATAGTGACGATTCTCCCACTTTGGGAAAGTTCCAGCCCTCCTCCACTGGAGGCCACCCTTACTTCCACTGAGAGCTAGAAGCCTGGGAGCTTTGCTGGAAGAGGGGAAACCAGGCCCCCAGCAGATCCAGCTGCCTTCCTGTGCCTAGACCCCCTAGCCTTGGCACCCACCGGCACTTCAGCTCCCCACCTCACCCCCATGAAGTATCGGTCTTGCGGACTCTTCCCCTTGTCCTTGCTCAGATTGCAGCTGGGCTCTGCCGCTGACCCACGTGGGATGGCAAGGATGCAGCGTCCGTCCCATCTTTCTCTATGTTGTTGGTGCACCACTTCCAGCCCTGGGCAGGTCCCATGTTGCCAAAAGTCCAGACTTCATCAGGGAGACTTCCAGTGTTGTATCTGTCCCCAGCACCCTGCCCCCAGGAGAGCCAGAAGCGAGGCCCACTCATGAGCCCTGTGGTCACCTTCTCATCGCCCTCCACCCTAGTGGGGCCCCCAACCCAGCCCAGCCTTGCTTAAGGGTGCACCTCTCCTTCTGGATTTACCAATCCCTGGCTGCCATGATTGCACCCTGGCTAGGAACCTCCTTTGGTCTGGCTCCTTGGCACCCCAACACCTCCCCACCCTTCTCTTCTACTGCAGAATGAGGGCTTGTGGGTAAAACTAATATTTCCAGAATACCTCGCCTGGCTTTAGTGCATCTGCATATCAATAGGCATTCCGGTGGAGAGAAGTTCATCTCCGTATCAATGGGTAACTACCTGGACAACCAAGGGCTTCTCTGAACCTCTCTGAGAGGTGAGGGGGCGGGATTGCTTGTTTCAGCTCCAGCAGGAAAGAGACGGCCCTGGACCGCAGTTTCTAAGCAATAAATGGGTTTTAAACCTTATTTCTCCCTTTGACTGATTTTGGTTTTAGAGGTATTTTGCCCCAGGATTTCCTTTCCCTGGAGTTACAGGGATGAAGCGTCTTGCCTTCCTGGAAATCAGCTGGCACCCTGTGTGCATAGTAGGCTACCTTGACCTACTCGTTCTGGCTTAACAACCTCTTGGTTCCCATAAATGAAATAGCACTCATGGCCCAGGGCAGTCTCTCCCCACCTGCAGCTCAGGATTGAAAAGGTCATTGCACCCTTGAAGCCTCTCCTCCAGTGCTGGGTGAGCTGCCCTCCGGGACCCAGCAGGGGCTGCCTGTCTCTGGGCTACATTGTCGGGCTGGGGGGTGGTGTGGGTGCAGCTAACCAAGGTCTTGGAGGTGTGGGTGTGTCTGGAGCCCTTCCTGTCTGCACCCCACCGACCTGCACTGAATGCCAGTCTGTGCTCCGCAGCACTTGTTCAAGGCCTGAGCAGAAGACACCGGCCTCTGTGCTCCTCGACCCCACGGTCCAGCCCAGGACCCAGGCACTGAACAGACAAGTAGGCCATGTGATAGCTGGGATGATGAGAGCTGGAGGGGGCAGATACCAGGCCTGGGGGGCGCTGGGGGCTTTGGCCAGAGGAGACGGGATTGTGTGTCTCTGAGGAGCAGCAGGAAGGCCAATGGGGTGAGCAGAAGGGTTGGTTTACCAGGTTTGAGCTTTTGCCAGGTGAGGTTCTGAAAGGGGCATGGGAGTCAAGGAGGTGTGCAAGGGAAAGGGGGCAGTGGGTCAATGGCATGATTGGGGCAGATGACGAGGTCGTTGGCAAAGAGAAAAAGTCAAAACTGAGAGGCAAGGAGTTGAAGGCTGGTCGGGGAGAATAGAGTCCAGCAGGAATGCAGACCTGACACAGGAGGGAGGGCAACGCCCACAGCAGGGGTGGGGAGGGCCGGCGGTGCAGCTGATGGCTCCTGGCAGCCGGACTCAGAGAGCGGGGAGGGGGCTGCCTGCCTCCGTGAGGAACAGGGTGTGGGTGCCCCACTTCAAGGCCAGGGGGCCCAGGTGGGGAGAGAGAAAGCAGCCCCCAGAGAAGGCTGGCTGGACAGGAGCAGCGAGCAGGGGAGCCGGGTTTGGCTGAGTGAAGGCCAGCGGGACGGGGTTGAGGACGGGGGTGGGGGGGTGGTCGTTGCTGGTGACTGGCTCCAGGGGAGGGTTTCAGGACTGGGGGAACTATACTCCAAAACAGGCTATGTGT